AAAATAACCATGGTTTGGGGTTCAAGCTCCCTTACATGGTGGAATCCCTTTTTAGCCTCCTTAAGAACCATAAAACTCCTACAAGAAATTAAATTATGACATGAATTCATGCTATATGCAAAGATTCAACACCTTTTTACTTGAAGGAACAAAACCCATTCTATCATCATAATTAATCCAAGAAATTCACTCTTTAGCTTATGATCTTTAAATATTGAGAGGGAAACTCTTACCTTAAGCTTTCATCACCACTTATTCTTGCATAGCCATGAAGAATTCAAGTCAAATCCTTGATTTCCTCTTCCACTCCAACTCTTTCTCCCTTCTTCTCCTTGAGTTCTCTCAAGAACTCTCTCTCTCTCTCACGTTGCTTTCCCTTTTTCTAGATATTTTGGTTCAAAGAGTTAAGTTCCACAACTCATAAAGCTTCTATGTATATAAATATACATACACACACAAGATTAACACAAGGGAGAGCCAAACGTGGCCTTATGAATCGTACGAAATTAAATTTCAATTAAAATTTTCAGATGACTCTAAAAATTACGCTGATCATGAATATGTCCTCTATTCCGGTTTCTGAAGCCTTTAAGGCCTTCAATTTGCAGTATAAAATTAACCACCCAACCGTGTATTAACGAATCAGACAAATTAGAATTCCAATTAATTTTCCCAAATAGTTCTAAAAATTCCCATTAACATACCCAAGTACTCAATTTTAATTTCTGAACCCATAAAGGTCGGCAATTCAATTTTAAATCTGTAACTCAATAGATAATGCTTCAATTCGAATAGATATAATTAAAGGAAAACACATCATCTCATTGTTAAATAAAGATGACTTCTTATACGCATTTGGGGTCATTACAGGTTTCTTCGCAAATAACCTCGGCCTAGCCGAGATCATCTCGGCATCATGACCAGGTCACGTGGCACCTCGGTTGGCACTTCGGTGACACTTCGGCCACGTGTTGTCATTCAAATATTATGTCCCCACAACTGCCCCCTAGGTTCTATTACCTTGGCATACTGAGGTGATGGAACCTATGTCATTCATTCCTTTAATTATGACCCCGGTTTAACTTCAACTTGTAAACTTTTCTCAAGTTTTAACAAGTGTTAAACAATGATTTCGATTTAACTTCAACTTGTAAATTGTCCACAAATTTCAACAAGTGTTAAACAATGATTTCGGTTTAACTTCAACTTTTAAATTGTCCACAAATTTCAACAAGTGTTAAACAGTGATTTCGGTTTAACTTCAACTTGTAAATTGTCCACAAATTTCAACAAGTGTTAAACATAATCTCGGTAAGATCTTCTCTTCTCGGACTTAATCATCTTAGGCCGAGATCTTGTCTTCTGGGATCACGGATCCGAGGTCTGGAATCCGGGATCGGCTTACTTGGGCTGAGCTCTTGTCTTCTCATATCCAGTGTTATCTCGGCTTGACAGGTGAGGTCACCTCGGCATTTTGTTGCTTTCTCTGGAGGTAATCCCTCAGATCCTCCTTGGTTCGTCCAGGAGCTCGGCTATCTCCGGATTTCAGCCTCTTTGGTGCCCTACTTCTTGTGTCATTGCGAGTCCTTTTGGACCTCCCTCTATTCGTCATGTCGAAACAGAGGTCCTTCCCCTGAACATGCCGATGTTCTTTGGAGTCAGCTTCCTTGGTGCGATGTGTCCTCTGTGAATCTCCCCTTCTTGATTCTCCTCGTCCGACCTCCCTTGAAGGTCGGTGAGAATGTTCTTTGGTCCTATCGTGCTGAGGAGTCGTAGGAGTTGTCTTCTGCCTCCCTGCCTAGGCATCTTTCTTGGCTGCTAGAATCAGCGTATCTTGTGACGGGAATGGTGGCTGCATGACGTTGATCTGTATCATGAAATTGACAATCGTTTGCAGGTTCGCCAATTTGTTCGACATTCCTTTCATCTCGTCATCCCTTCGTAAACATCTTTCTTTCCATTCCCGGAGGTCGTCCTCGTTATAATACTCGCTTCTGTCTGATTTCTTCGGCACGTCGCCCTCCTGGCCGACGTCCTTTTCTCCGTGATTCTTATCACGAGTTTCTTCATTGTAGTTGTCTTCTTCGACGCCAAGGTCAATATGTTTCCCACTCTCAGTAGGGGTGTCATCTCCAATCTTCACTTTCGGTCTGTCGTTGGCCATCTATTCTCATTTTGTTCCCACAGACGGCGCCAAATTATGTGTGTAAATTTTCGACCACACTGCCAAACTAGTATTCAACTGGAGAGTAACGGCAGAATAGATCAAGCCCGAACGACCTGTCATAGAAAGATAAGATTCCCGCAGTGGTTCGTTCACCCGGGGGAACTCCAACGATCAAGTCAGTAAAATATCTCTCAAAGATAACCAATAGTGCTTAACTCACTAGACAAAGCATAAAAGACATACCTTAGACCCATGGGGGTGCCTTCCTTTTATAGCCAACACAATCCTAGTCCCAATAGAAGCCTAGCTCTAATGAACTTAGGATTACTGCTAAACTTGAACTCCCAGTTGAATTAGGATAAACTCTCTAAGAGTCTTATCTTAATCCAAACTGAAGTCTTCTCTCTTTCTAGGACTCTTGTCCCTTATCCGCTTATCCCAGATTCCGGTTTCTTCGCAAATAACCTCAGCCTAGCCGAGATCATCTCGGCATCATGACCAGAACACGTGGCACCTCGGCTGACACTTCGGTGACACCTCGGCTACGTGTTGTCATTCAAAAATTATGTCCCCACACATGATATTTTTTTTTTTTTAGATGGGACTTGTCCATGAAGTATGCCATATCACAAAACGTATCATGGAATAGAGATGTAATTGGTTTGGTATGATTGATATTTAGGTAAAAAATTTTACTAAGTTGATAATGTCGGTTTTATTATTTTGAGTATTGATATAGACTACTTCCTTCATTAAATCGCTCTGAACCACACCAATTGAAACAGTTCGATTTGATACGATTTAATCGGTTTAATATCTTTCAAATCCAAACTATTTTTTGATATAATCACTCCTTTATGTAAAAATATTGAATTAATCATTTGTCAATCATTTCAAACATATCATATCTATCTATTTAATAAATATTTTATAATTTTTAAATTAACAAAAATACAAATAAAAACTAATAATAAATATTAAGGTTTCAAGAATTTTAACTTACATTTTAAAAGATATTTATTCTTTTAATAATATTAATTATTCAACAAACTTAATTAATTATTATTTAATAAATTTAATTTTAAATGTTGAATAGCTTTCAAACACCTTTTACATAATGCAAAGGATAAATTACAAATACACCCTTTGAGATTTGATTAAAATACGAATTATCTTTATGGTTTTGAAAATTACATTCCACCCCTTAAAGTTTATAATTTCATAACAAATCGTTCATTTTATTAATAAATTATCAAATCAATTAACAATTTTTAATGATACTAAAAATATGTTTCAATTAATAATTTAAATAATTTTATTATTGTATAAAAGAATAATAATGAATTTTATTTTTTTAGTTAATTCTGTTAAATAAAAAATTATGACAATGAAATATTTATAATTTTTCAAATTATAGAAGACAATTTATAATATAAATAAATCTCAAAAAAATGTATTTGTAATTTATCCTAAATAGAATATATGTTGAGTTGGTTAGATTCAATTTAGATCGGTATGTAAAGGGTATGTTTGGTTTGTATTTGAGAGATGTGTTTTAAAGATAAAAAGTACGAAAAGTTGTTTGGTTTGGTTTTTTTCAAAAGATGTTTTGAAAAATTATTTGGAGAGAGAGTTTTGGAAAAAGTGATTGATTTGATGTGTGTGAGAGAGAGATTTGTTTGGAAAACTTGTTTGGTTTACAAGTTTTCAGAAATTTTTTTGAGAAAATTTGTTTGATTTGATTACTTTTAAAATTTTATTTGTAGAGAAAATTTTTTAAAAATTTTTTACAAATACAAACCAAACGAACACAAAGGGTGTGTTTGGTAACGTTACGTTTTCAGTTTATATTTATAAAAATTTTATAAACTGGTTTTTGTTTATTTTTAAGAAAACATAAACTACAAACGCGTTTGGTAATTGACAAAATGTTTAAAAAATTTTAAAAATATAAAAAAGAGTGAGAAATGACAAGTGGCGGCAAGTGACGGCGGAAGACGGTGGTGGAAAGTGGTGACGGTGGGTGGTGGGTAGCTGGTGGTGGTGGCAAGTGGGTGGTGGTGGCGGGTAGGTGGCTGGTGGTGGTGGTGAGTGGATGGGTGACGGTGGCGGTTGGTAGGTGGTAGCGAGTGGGTGGTGGTGGCAGGTGGGTAGCGAATGGCGGGTGGTGGTAGGTGGTGGCGGATGGTGATGGTGGGTGGGTGGGTGACGGTGGCGGATGGTGGGTGGTAACGAGTGGGTGGTGGTGGTGGTGATGGTGGCGGGTGGTGGATGGTGGTGGCAGGTGGGTGGCGGATGGCGGGTGGTGGTGGGTGGTGATGGTGGGTGGGTGGATGACAGTGGCGGGTGGTGGTGGTGGTGGTGGCGGCGGCGAGGGGTGGATGGTGGTGGCAAGTGGGTGGCAAGTGGGGGGTGGCTGGTGGTGACGGGTGGTGGCTGGTGGGAGCAGATGAGTAGTGAGTGGTGGTGGCAAGTGGTGGTGGAGGGTGGGTGGTGGTGGCGGAAGACGGTGGTGGAAAATGGTGGCGGGTGGTGGCTAATGTTGGGTGATAAAAAAAAAAACTGAAAACTCAAAATGGAAACACATTTTTTGTGTTTTCATTTTTTGGCCTAATTTATAAACTGAGACCACTGATTTATAAATCAAAAATTTTACCAAACAGGTTTTTATTTGAGTTTTTTAAATTTTTGTAAATATAAACAGAAAACTGAAAACGTAAGTATTACCAAACGACACCAAAGTGTTTGAACGGATACCAGATTTTAAAAAAAATTAATTTAAAAATTATACAAATAAACTCTAATTACAAAACAGACCAAATATAGGGTTTGATTAGTTTGGTCGGTTTCTTTGTTTTTTCCGACATCCAAGGCAACGCGATGAGCAAATTCTTCGACTCAGTCACCTCCTTGTTCAGCAGCAAAGACCACATTCCACGCTACGATCTCAACATCATCCGAGTAATCATCTCCAATTCTCCAAAAACCTATCTTTCAATCCACTCCCTTGTGATTTTCTTGGAAATAATTGAACCCTGTTTTGGTTTTCCTCAAGGAAATGTGGGCAGTGAAAAGGAGTATCAGAAACTTGTGCGACTCACTCACCGATTTCTTTAGCAGCGGAGACCACATGCCTTGGAACGATCCCGACACCATTGCCGTAAGCATCTATCTATCTATCTCCCTTTTAATTTTAATTGCCCCCTGTTTGGTTCCTGAGAAAAATGTGGCATGCAACAAAGTGTATTAATATATACTGCTTTGAGGTTTTGGGGTTTCTTGACTTTTTAATTTTTCTTCAAATCAGGAACTGTTTTGTGACTAGTTTTGATGGACAGTATTCATGTGCATATGTTATTACTAGTGGTGAGTGCAAACACATGTGTTTGCAATTTTAAATATACTAGGAGGGTAAGCCCACCCATTGGGTGTGCTATTAAATTTGTAAAATATAAATTTTGAATTTGAATTAGAAATATATGTAGCGTTTGTTGATCAAGTAGTAAGGGTGTTGTTTTCCAAACCCAAGATCTAAGGTTTAACTCTTGTGCACTTCACTTTATAATTTTTTTTTCCTTTCTTGATATAAAAATATCCACTTGGCAAAAGGAGAGAATAAGCTTCAAGAGAACAAAGTGTGTTGTTCACATATATAATTGTATATATAATTTTGGATGGTTAGATGATTGAGGGGCAATTTGATGAATGAGAAAAACCATTTTAAATAGTTTTTAGGCAATTTGATGAATGGGAAAATTGTTTGGAAGTTATCACATATGACAATTAAAGGGCATTCTTGGAAAAGAACAAAAAACGTGACACCATTTACACCAAATGTGATAGAATAGCTTACTTTTGTACAATTAATGGGAATGGTACCAACTGGCAACTGCTGCTTATTTTTTATGGATGAATTGTTTCTATTTCTCTGTGCTTTGTAAATTTGTGGGGTTACTATTGGAAAAAAAATAATTTAGATTTTGGATATGTTTTGATCTGTTTACTTGTTTGTAGTTGTTGGGTTACATTTGCCACTTGATGAATAGAATAGGGCCAAAAGACTTTTTTAGAATCAAAAAGAAAAATGGAAAGTGTTCAATTGGAACATAAAAACATGACTAGATTGGCATTAGTTACTCTTCGGGGCAGAGATTCTTTTAATTTTTTGAATTTTTGTATTTTGAGAATTATAAGTTGTTTTGTGCCTGTCGAATATGATATGTTGAGTAATATGAGCTTGGGGTGGATGTTGGTAAATTTAAATTTGTTGTCTTCTGTAAAATTCACTGGGGTTGTGGTTGGAATTTCTGTCCCAAAATTATGAAGTTTTTTCTTTATTTTCTTTTATTTCTCTTCTCAATGCAAACTTAGTGGCAATCAAGCAATGAAAATGTGTTATGTCTACGATATTTGGTTTTCCATCTTTTGGGCAACGTTCCCTGCAGCCCTTGGTTGAATCATTTTGCCTATGTCAAGCCTTGTCATGATTTTCTATTTGTAGCTATGATGTTATTTCATTTGGAAGCTGACCACTATACAGGGGAATATATGCTCAATAAGATTTGTTGTTGATTGGAGTGCAACAGCATTACTGGAAGATATTGTTGATCTCATCTGTGCTTAGAGATATTTTGTTATCTGGAAGATATTGTTGATCTCATCCGTGCTTAGAGATATTTTGTTATCCTTATTGCTGATACCCCAAAAAAAAGAAAAAAAGAAAAAAAAGGGTGATTGGAATAAGTACTGAAAATGAGTCTAAGTTTATGTGTTTTGCCAAGTACTTTTTTAAATCTTCAAAACCATATCAGATTCTATTGCTAGCATTAACTCTTGTTTGTGATTGAACTACGTTTTTTCCTGGTTAAGAAAAGATGTGTGGATGTACCAAAAATAAAACTAGGTAGAAATCCACAGCACTTTGCTATTATTAATATTTTATTTCATGACAATAAAGGCATAACCCCCAAGGCATCAAATGCTGCTGTGGCAGTGGCATTGTCCATGTGTATGAAATTTTCTCTGGTTCTTCCACACTTTTGTCGATGCTTTGAAGTCTTTCGTGTGTAGGGTTGTGAGAGAGAAGTTGCAGAGGCTGCAAATGGTGTCTCGGATGAACTAAAGAGTGAGAGAATTATGCGGTTATCATGGGCTCTTGCTCATTCCAAACAACCAGAAGACATGCAGCGTGGGATAGCTATGCTTGAAGGTCAGAACCAATAAATTCAATGCTAAATAATTTTTCTTTACAGCAAGGAGTTTATAGTTCTCATACGATCTTGATTTCAATCTTGTTTAATTTTTCCACTCATTCTGTTTAACATCCTTCTGTTGTTTACACTTTTATTTTACTCTCTTTGCCACCAATCTTCACTGTAACTATCAGCTCACCCTGATCTTGTGCGTGCATGCATGTGCATTTTTGTCTCTTTTTGTATTTTTTTAACTTGATTTGTTTGTTTCTTTATTCATGGAAAAATGGAGAAAAAAAGCAACTTAATAGCCTGTACACTTACTAAAAGTTGCATGTTGTACACACATTTTTGGATGATTAGTTTAGGGGCCATCAAAAGTTTACTGCATTTTGTGCTCCATACTTGTTTATGCTTGAGAAATTCAAATTATTAGCTCAACGTAGCGAACCTCAAAGTTGTGGACTTGGTGCTGACCCCTTCTGTAAAGAGTTTGTAAACGATAACTTTAGTACCTGAAGTAATGACAACCATTCCCTTCGGAGTCATGATTAGCTTTGTTTATGCTTTGTGTTCTTGGAGGACTCACCGGTCTCGCCAGACTTGGCTCCTGCGTTCATTATGGAACTTCGGAACACATCACGGACGTAGGGCTGTGGCTGTGGTTGTGGCTGTGGGGTCAAATGGCTTTCAATTACAACACTTAGCTGCACATTGTGCTGGTCAGCAATGGCCATGGGTCGGTCGTGGCTGCTGCTCCCTCCACCTGATTCTTCTCCTTGGACTATACTCGTCCTTGTTGAAGATATCTTATCATTCAAAGTAACTTTGTCAGAAGCCTGATTGGACATTGCTAGCTCATAAGAATCAGATACACAATCTAGCAAGAGGAGGTATAGTCTGTATCTTATGATCCTTTTATCTGCTTAACAATTCCAGTTTTAAGCAATTATCTTGTATAGTATTAGATTGAGATCGACACCTTTACAAGTGTTTTCTGTCTGAGAATCTTCATGAAAACAAAAAATGAAGTTTAGAATTTCTTTTTTTCCTGTTCATGTTGTTGAGAAAGAATTGAGTCACATTTTTCTGTTTCTAGTCTTTTTTCTTTTTCTTTTTATATAATAACGGTCCCAAGCTTGTTTCTCATATATTCCAGACTTGGTTCTGAAAAGAAATCATGTCCCTTTGACTTTGTATGATGTAATTAGCAGACTATAACAATCTAAGCTGTAGAGTAGACAAGCAAATCACATAGAGAATTTCCCACACTAAACAGTTGATTAGCATTTAAGCTTTCTTTGGATTAAGACTTAACAGGTAGCTTGTTGGTTGAAAACAAGTATATATCTTCTTTTCTGGTTTATGATTAAAAATAAGTAATATAAAAATCATTCTACATGTTTTCCAAAGTGTTTTACAGCTGAATTCGAGCTTTTAAACACTCAATGGAATAGATCTCATCATACTTGAAGTAGAAGTTTTTATTTGAACCTTCACATGGGATTTTTTGTCTTTATTATTTTCTCTGTTTTTCTTTTCTGTTTTTTCGGAGAACTATATTTTTTCCTATTGGGTCATATCATATGAGTTGCAGAAGGGAATACTTTAGTATACTTCACTACCTTGCTAAGCAATGTTCAAAACAAAGATGTATCCGACTTTGCCATTGTTGGCTTAAAATAACACACATTCTCATACTGCTGAAGCATGAGGATAGTGGTTTTTCATTCCTTCTTCATTAGATGCATTTTTCTACTTTCAGAGTATCAATCAAATCAAAACAAAACCAAACAGAACAAAACACCACAATGCAACAATAAGTAGAAACAGAGCAGAAACAGAGTGCCTTGATTGTAGAACAATGCCACATTAATAGCTCACCAAACAAATAAACACAACAAGACTGTAACTTCAAATGAAAAGCTAGAGCAACTTGATTTAAGGTAATGTCACAATCACAGTCCTTCATTCCGTTCTGAAAGCATTGCCATCCTAGCATGTCTTAAACTTCAGACATCAAACACCTTCAATATTAAATAACAATGTCAGTGAAACTAACAGATAGGTGTGTGCATGAGAGAGAGAGAGAGAGAGAGAGAGAGTATGAAACAAAGCAGCTTGAACATATTCTAACATATTTTTTTGTATTGTTGGTTTTGATTGTACATGAACAAATCTTCTTATAATATTTTTTTTAACCTTATTCTCAATTGGTATTGCTCTTCTCTTTCATTCATTTATGAATGTGTTATTTTTTAGTCACTCAATATTCCGTTCTATAAGATATCGTTGGTAGTATAGGTATTTTATTAAAAAGAAAAAAAAAATTCAATTTTATAAGTATTCATCAATCTTATGATATGACAGATGCATTCCTCTACTTAAGTCAATTTTCTTTTATCCCAATGATAACATTATTTCCGACCTTACTATCCTTATTAATAATGGAACTTAAATAACAATAGTGTTCACTATTAATTTGTTATGTCTTACTTTTCAATCTTTGTTTATCTATTATTTTATTTTGAGAAATGCTATTTATCACTACTATTTACTCACCCTTTTACTTTGCTTTCTATCAGTATTCATACAATAAATGTCATGTGTATGTGTGGCCATTATGTTTTGAAAAAAAGAGGTAGCCATCATATCACATAAGAAAGTATTTTATGTAATAAATACTGTGTGGTATATTGTTCCATTAATTGATTGTCATATAATAAAAGTGGGAGTGAATATTTTGTGCTTGACATGAGGTGCTAAGTGTGTGACTACAATAAACTTTGGTCTCCCTTTTCACCGCACGACAATCAATGAATGAAAGGGTAACATATCGTAGAATATATCTACCCACAGTTACATTTCACATATTAAGTTTTAAGGAAATTGAAGAAAACATTAACTAATATTTTTCAAGTTGTTAGGTTTTCATTCTTGGCAATTCCGATTAACAAAACTCATTTCAGTTGTAATTTTATTCGCTCGTTTATTTAAGTGAGGCTATGAGTATTTAGATACGAATCTAACCTGAATTGTGCCTTGTAGAGGAGTTTATGATCCGAAGTCCTATCATATTTGCCACTTCGCTGACTATGTCGGGGATCGGGCTGTCTGCAAAAGTACTGGAAGTTGGGATTTTACGCTCGAGTGAACTTTTCTGCGCTCGAGCGAGATTTGCTCGAGTGGCCATTCTTATGTTCGAGCGGAGATTGCAGAAACATTTTGTATAAATATGTATTTCGGTCCGATTTTAGGACACGACTTCCTGATCTTCTTCTTGGGTATTAGGGTTTTTATCTGGAGCTTTTTTGCTTGTTTCCTTTAATATCTGTGAGAGTTTAATCATGAATTGAGTGGATTATATCAAAGGGTTTGTTTAGTTTGTTTTATTCACAAAAGAGAGAGTTGTTCTTTGGTGGATTCCGTGGAATTCGGGTCTGAAGCTTTGGTGGATTCTGGAGTGGTTCATCGTCGTGATTCGACATCGGCATTGTGGATTCAACGTTGGGCAAGACAATTCCGAGGTGAAGACGGGGCTAGAAAAGGCACATAGGGGTCTGTTCGATTTGGGCGTGGATTTGCTAGGTGATTAAGAGTGCACTTGTGTAATTCCTTTATGTCTTTTTAGTAGATTGTTTTGTGGTTTTTGCCCATGGAATTCGGGTTTGAAGCTTTGGTAGATTCTAAAGTAGCTTATCGTTGTGATTCGACATCGGCGTTGTGGATTCAACGTTGAACAAGACAATTCCGAGGTGAAGACGGGGCTGGAAGAGGCATATAGGGGTCAGTTTGATTTAGGTGTAGATTTGCTAGGCAATTTAGAGTATACTTGTGTAATTCCTTCATGTCTTCTTAGTGGATTGTTTTGTGGCTTTTGCCTGTGGTTTTTTTATCACAATTGGAGGCGCTCCAATTGTGATTTTTTCACGTTAAATCATTGTGTTGATTTGTCTTTGATTGTTTGATTGGGTTTGCTATTTACTTATTAAAATTGATACATAATTACAAATCAATATCTAGATTTTTCACAAGTGACTATATATATTGTTAGGCATGATATAACCAATAATTATCAACCAATATAAATAGTAATTCTTACAAAATGCACAGACAATTTTACATCATTCTTGTGGTGTTTTTTTTGTCTGAATTGAATTTTTTATTACAAAAACTGATATTTGTTGAAGAAAAGATTTAGGAATACAAAAATCAATCACATAATCATGCACAACCCTTCATCTGAGGTGAACCTCACCTTTTTGTGAGTTCCACATGAGAGAATTGGTCTTATGACTAATTTTTGTGTAAGAAGAAGAATTGTGTGTTGAAGGAGGAACTTGCACAACCATTGAGATAACAATCCACAAGAAGAAGAAGTGGGAGACAAACCTAAACAAAGAAGACATTTCTGAGGAGCATTCGAACATTTTAGCCACCTATCATGATGTGGGAAGCATATGCTCGACAAGTGAAGATTTTATAGATGTATATATCTGCTACAAAAACAAGAAAGAAATCAAGAGAGCTTACATTTTATCCTCCATTGCTTTTAAGCATACTGTTTTTCAGGTAGTTGCAAATGGATTCTTGGCACGTATCAGTACGAGGGAAGGCAGCGAAATATGTCTGAACGGCGGTCAAAAAAATAGCAAACAGTGCAGCAAGGACAGCAATGGCAGTCCAGGGGCTCCTAAAATGGTCGCGCATCACTTCAGCAATCCAAGATGCTATCCTGGTCTTCCCTTTGCGGCTGTGGTATTCTTCGATACTCGACATGACGCAAAAATAACTCGTATTTCTATAATCTGGGACCAACCCAGCAGCCATTTCACTGATTACTTTCACAACTTCTTCATCGTTCCTGAGAAAATTGGTGATGATACCTGCATATTTCAGCTCCTTAACATCGTTAGCAGAATCAATGATTGAATCTAAAAAGCATATATAATTTGTCGCCCATAAGTAATTAGCTAAGGTATTAGGGCAGTGTTCATAGGCAGCCAAGTTGAGAAGCAAAGAAATGTTTATGTCGTCAATGTTTATTTTAGGAAGTATCAGTATCCCGCCAGTCCACGTAGACTTGAATGCTGTATATGATAAGCAATCATGATAGGAAGGCCTGAATCGAATCCCCACCATCTTAAGGTCCATGGCCGATCGACGCGGGTACTGATGATGATGAATATTGCCACTGCCCTGTATTTTTCTATTCCTGGAAGAAATGGTGTGGTCATATTTAATATGATCCGCCCATGTGTTTTCTAGAACTTGTTTACTTCCATAAATTTCTACAAGTTCCCAACCGTAATATAGTGACCAGTTACAACAAACCTCTATAAATAACCGGTCCATATAGGTTTTCAGAAATGATGGTTTTGTGCCCCTTATTTTTTGAATGAACCTGCTAATCAAATTTTTGCCTCGCCATTGATAAAATCTGAAATTCATGTTCAGTAGTGCCAGAAGGACTTGAAAAGGAAGTTGATTCTCAAGTAAGAGCAAGTCCCGGTGTACCAAAGCTATTTCGTGACTCTTCATCATCTCCAATTGACCTTCTTCATCGTTCACAATGCACCAAACAAATTGGAGGATGAAGCAACCATCGAGGAACATCATCTCAGTGAAGGCTGTGTCTTCAATGCCTTCCGTTGTACCCTCAGCATAGCAGCTTCTTGCCTTACCTGCCAGCTCTGCAACCTTGTTATATAAGTCAGTTTTGTCTGCTGGATCACAACTTTTGACAAACTCCCTTGTGAATTAAATTTTGAATTTCTCGAATGATTTGAGGTTTGTATCGTTGTGGTGGTAGGGACCGATGGAAACCAGCTGCGGATCGTAGTATTTCTTGGTCTCCATCTGCCGAAGCATCTGGGGGACCCTCTGTAGCTTATGCTCTGGCTTTGTATTGTTAGAGGACTCACCGGTCTCGCCAGACTCGCCTCCTTCGTTCATTATGGAACTTCGGAACTCATCGCGGATGCGAGGCTGTGGCTGTGGTTGTGGTGGTCGGGTCGGACAGCTTTCAATTACAACAGACTCGTCGGTAATGGCCACAGGTTGGTCATGGCTGCTGCTCCCTTCGCCTTGGACCATACTCCTTGGAGATGGATCTTTTTCAGTAAGAGTTACCTTCTTCTCACAATCTTCCATGGTTAGCACTAAGCAGGCAGGCAGGTTGGAAGGAAGGAATATGATAAACAACAATCTACCTACCAAAGTGCTATTATTAATAATCTTATTGCATCTGCCTTTTCATTTATTTCGAGTCCTGAAACCCTTTTACATCTGCTTTTCTTCTTTTCAATTAGATTAGATTCACACCTGACATTTGTTTGATTGTAAAGCTTCTCACGGAATCCTTTTGTACCGGCAAGTCAACAAAACAGAAAAAGAGACTTTTCGCAAACGGGGCTGACAGAGATAGGTGAAGAAAAGCTAGGCTCGCTTAGTTTTAAAAGAATGTTAAATTGTATTTTAAAATTAAAACATAAATGGTTAAAAAGAGTTTTGAAAATTAAAAATTTATTTATAAGTTTAAAAATAATTTTATGATTTGTAATTTTTTAAATTTTTTCTTTTTGTAGTTGAATAGATGGGATAAAAAAAAAAATTTAGGCCAAGTTTGGGGACTTCAAAAAAAGTCAAAAAGTCAAAAAGTTACTTAAAAAGTTAAAAAGTTAACACTATTCACCAAAAATCAACAATTACGGCTGCACAACTCCCAATTCAAATTTTTCCTTACAAAACAATTTTTACAATTTTTTATTACACATTTTTTAATAAAAAGTCAAAAAGTTAACCCAAACATTCATATTTTCAACCTCAATTTTTTAGTCTAAAAAGACAAAAAGTGCACTTTTTTAGTCTTCCCAAACTTGGCCTTAATTGATTGATGTGTAAAATGTGAAAAAATGAGAGGAGAGAGGAGAGAGGAGAAAAAAAAAAGTGATGGATTTATTAATAAAAAAAAGGAAGGGGAGAAAAGAGAAAAAAATCATTTTAAAATGAGTTTTGAAAATTTGTTAATCAAACATATTTTTTAATTTTTTAATCCAAATATTAATTTAAAACTAAAAAAAACACTACCTAGATTTTTTTTTGATAATTCAAGCTAAGAATGAATTTGTCATTTTTTATCTGATCTTGATGAAATTTCAATGGATTGGTCGTGAAAATTACATAAAAGGTGTTGGGCGGTGACCTCCAAATAGGGGTCCCAAAAAACTCTTTGGAGTTGGAATTAAGGAGTGTTTGAAGAAGTTAGTTAAATGTCGAGTTTTTAGTTTTTGTGGATATTTTCTTGAGTAAAAAATGTGATAGGTAATATGATTTAAAATGAGTTAAAAGTTAAAAATTTACATTTAACTAGTTTTTCAAAATGACCTTAATTATATAATTTGACTTGTTTGGAGTCAAAATTAAGGCCAAGTTTGGCATGATTGAAAAAAGATAAAAAGTCAAAAAGTCAAAAAGTCACTATCCTATTTAAGTCACATCACCTCTCTAACACATCACTTCAAATCCAACTCAAACCAAACTCATATTTCATAAAAAATCAAAAAGTACACTTATTTAGTCTTCTCAAACTAGGCCTTAATTTCATTGTAAAGCTTGTAATGAAAGCTTGGTTTTACACTCGCCAGTCAACAGAAAGAGACTTTTTGAATTCATGCCGAGAGAGATAAAAGGCGAAGAAAAATTAACAATTTCATGATTAAGGTTAATGATTGAGTTTTCTAAAGATTAAGGTTAATAATTGAGTTTTCTCTAAATCAATCCTTAACCATCTCTTTATTAATTATCCTCTCATTAACAATTTCATTAACCTTAATCTTTCAAACGTGACCAAAAATGTTGGGTGGTTCCCTTCAAGTGAGGTCCCACAAAGACTTTTAAGGTTTGGTTTGATATCTTAAAAAAAAATCTAAGAAATCAAAAAAGTTAAAAAGTTATCACTATTCACAAATTAAAAATATAAAAAAATTAATTTACACAATATTTTAATACAAACCAACCAGTTGAAGTGACTGGTACTGAGGCCAAGTTTGGCTACTGCCAAAAAAATGCACTTATTTCATCTTTTTATCTTTTTTGGGTCACATCAATCAACATCTCCTCTCTACTTTTTCTACACATAATACAAAAAAAGTCAAAAAGTGCACTTATTTAGTCTTCCCAAACTAGGCCTGAATTGATAGAAGTGCACTTATTGGTCTGTCAAAGGAACAAAAAAAAAAATTAGGTATATATATTCATTAAGTTGGAGGGTAATGTTGGGCCAGTGGAGGCCCACCACGGGTTCCTTTTTGATAATCCGAACCATTCAATGTGTAGAATTAGTCGAGTACTATATGCCTGTAAAAAATCACGTTAATCGGATATGGATAGCAATATGATTAAATCAGTTTTGTATAAAATGGATATTTTTTTTGAGTGAATAAGTCAAAAAAAAAAACAAAAAATAAACAAGATTATAAGGGCATACCCCAGGACCTAAATCAGCTAAAAACAAAAAATGGATATCTGCATGATTAAATATACATTTTTTCGTAAAAAGTTAAAAAGTTAACCCAAACATTTATCTTTTTTTCCTCAACTTTTTAATCTAAAAAATAAAAAGTATACTTATTTAGACACTCCTAACAACCCCTAAGTCAAAATTAATTATATAATTTGATTGTAAAGCTTCTCACTGAAGCTTGCTTTTGTACCTGCAAGTCAATAAAAGAGAAAAAAATGACTTTTTGCAAACAGGGCTGGGAAAGATAAGGTAGCGTTTGGGTTAGGCTATGCTTGGCATGAAGAGGTTTGGTTTGGGTTGGGTTGGGTTGGGGTTATTTTAGTCATAGAAAGATAAAATAAATTTTTTGGCTCAATAAAATAAAAAGTTACATCCAAATCATAATTATTTTAATATTTCTCTCAAAAAAGTCAAAAAAAGCCGAAAAACTTATCCCAAATGAGATTTTTTAGCCTCAGGCAAAAATAGTCAAAAAGTAAATCTGCATCCCAAACGAAATGAGTTGTGAATTGAAATTATGATTTGAAAAGAAAAAAATTATTTAATTATGAGTTTTGAATTGAATTTTGAATTGAATGTTAAATTTTTGAAATGAGTTTTGAAATAAGAAAAGTTGTTTGATTATGAGTTTTGAAAAGAATCTTCAAAATTTAATTCAAAAATTTACAACTCATAAATAAAAACACAACTCAAAACTCTATTGAAAATTCTATTCAAAGCACATAACCAAACTCTTTTTAAAATTCAATTAAAAATAATAATTATTGAAAAAACTAATTTATTTTATTTAAAAAATTAAAAATATTACTAAGAAAAAGAAAAAGAAAAAGGCAAAATATTCCAAATACATTATCAAGCAGAGCATTCGTATATTATAACACATAAATTGCTATTTTGTACAATTAAGCCATCCAACAAAAAATCTGCATTTTAAATAGAATTGCTATTCGTATCTTTGTTCTCCACCTAGCATTTTATCATAAGCTATAGACCCAAAGGTCTTAGGCATCTACTTGTTGGTTCAAATTGATATTACACAAAATCACCTGCAAGAGAGTATAGTTAATTCAAACAAAAAAAAAAGAAAAAAAGAAAAAAAAGAATCACTGTTCCAGTCAACTGACCTGATGTCTGGGAGGATATCCGAATGGACGATCGGGTAGACCCAATCCGCTCTTTTCAAAAGTCAAAATTCAAAAACTTTATGCTCTGCCAAACATGTTGTCAAGTGAGTTTTGAAACATGGCCTTGGAATCAATTTTTGAAAACTTAAACCAAACAAAGTATTGAAATATAAGGGTGGAATCATGTTCCTAGAGTTAAACCAAATAGAGCTCAACTTTTTTTTTTTTCATAGTCTAAGTTAAAGAGATTGGATGGTCATTTCTTTTTCGATCTTGATGAAATTTCAATAGGTTGTTCATAACGACGACCTTTACATTTTGATCTGAGCGGATCTTATCAAAGCTCTCATAGATTGATAGTTTGGGATATAAGATCTAAATTTTATTTTTTGGTCATTTTGTTGAAATCCACCTTTATATAAGTATTGTTGGTCATCCAAGTATATATCTTGATGATTGTATATCTTTAATTGTGATTAAAGATGAGCCGTTGTAAACCCATTATTTTATAATAGAAGTTGATTCAGACTTCGACCCGTAAACGTAGGCATCTTTGTCGAATCATGTAAATTTGGTATTTTGTGATTGTTTTGTTGCTTTTAAAATTTTCAGCCATATTATTGCATGTTGTTTATGGTTTGTTACCCACAAGCGGGCCTGGTGTAGCGGTAAAGCTACCCCTTGGTGACCTAGAGGTCACGGGTTCGAGTCGCCAAAATAGTCTCTCCACTTGCGGGAGTAAGGCTGCATACATCAGCCCTTTCCCAGATCTCACTTAAGTGGGAGTTTCATGCACCGAGTATATCCTTTTTACCAATTTTCTAATTACACAAGGAAAAATGGACTTTCCCAACAAAATGTACCCCTTTTACAGATTACACCCTTTTATTCGAAAACAACTGCATAACTCTTTGATTGATTTGGAGCATTAAATAGGTAACACACTAATTACACAAGGAAAAAGGGATTTTCCCAACAAAATGTACCCCTTTTGCAGATTACACCCTTTTATTTGAAGATAACTACATAACTCTTTGATTGATTTGAAGCATCAAATAGGTAACACACATAGTAATCCAAGACTACTCAATAATTACAGACGTTGGCTGATGTGAAAAAAAAATAAAATTAAAATAATGAGTGTTGCTAGAGATATTTATCAATATGGTTCCACAACTTTTGTGTAATTATAAGAAAATATATTTGGGATTACTCAAAAATATCTTTAAGCAAGCCAAAAGAGGCTCACAAGCACACAGAGAGAGCCTCTTTGGTATAATTTGTGTCAAATTAAAAATTGATAATCAAAAAATAAAAGTTAAAAAAACTTATCCTTGTGGTATTCGGGATAATCAATTTTTTTTTTTAAAACTTATTTAAATTATTTTTGCCTCATATATTATAAACATAAATTGTGTCAAATATTTTTTCAATATAAAAAACTTATGAGCAGCTCTGCACAGAAACAGAGAATCTTTATGTAAACATAAAAGAAATGATCACATCAAAACAAAACAAATTCAAGCAAAAACAAATCCAGCAATCTTAAGCAAACCTTTCAAAGTCGATAAGTGATAAGAGAATGCAACAAAGACAGAGCAGTGTTCCCAAAATTTTCAACCTTTTGGTGGGTGGGCCGTGAGTTTAGTCTGAATTGATGCAAGGATAGTCTGAAAAACACTCAAAGTAATAGCCAAAATTGCAGCAGCGATAGCAATGAAAGTCCGAGGGCTCCTAAAATATGTATGGTGCCACTCTGCCATCCAAATCTTCATGCTATTTCTATGATGCTTTTCAATTCTTGTTTTCACTTCAACATAAGCATGAGGGCTTGGAACCAACTCAGTTGCTATCTCATTGAAAATATCAGCCACTTGCTGGTCACTACCAAAAAAGTTGAGCAATATACCTTTGGACCTCAACACCTTCACATCTTCAGCATGATCAATAAGAGAATCCATGAAACATATGTAAGAGGTCACCCCAAAGTCGGTTACGCTATCTAGGCAGGCCTCATAGGCAGCCGAGTTCAAGAGAATAGATTTTGTTGTGTCGTCAATGATCATCGGAGGGAGTTTTAGAATCCCCAAAGTGCATGTTGGGTTGAAATCTATGTCGGTCAATTGGTATGTCTTGCTTGGCTTGAATTGTATCCCAATTGACTTGAAGTCCTTGGTGGATCAACGAGAGTACTAACCACCGGTTATGTAACACCCAATGGTAAAAGCTATTGGGTCGATATATTGCCTGCGAATGAGTTCAAGAAGATGAATGGGGGGTTCGTCGTTAGAATTCTTTTGTTGCGTCTCATAATGTACTAACCCCCAAACATTGTTGTCAAAGAAGATTCTGATTTGTTCTATTAGTCAAGCTCTCACCACAGACTCACCTCTTACACGCTTGATGAAAACAGTGATCATGTTTTCCCCATCAAGATTTTCAAATCTCAAGAGCATTAGGACTTGGAGAACTATGAAAGGAAGTTGATTCTCCAACAAGAACAAGTCTCGCCGCACCAAAGGAGCCTGGTGGATTATCTTCAAAACTATGTGACTTTCATTCACGATGCTGCAAATGTACTGAAGGATGAAGCAGCCATCGAGGAGCATCATCTGGGCAAATTCGTCATCGTTGAACCATTCTGTTAAGCCTTCGGCATAGCACTTCCTGGCTTCATCGACCACTTTGACCACCTCCTTGTATAATTCATCAATCATTGTTTTGCTTTCTTTTCTTCTGTTTTTTTGGCTCAACTCTTATTTTCTTTCATGTCACCAAAGATAAAATCACAGCACAACCAACAGAAGCAAACCAAAACATTCACAAAACATCACCAAGAAACAAGTATCAAGTAGTCCAGTGGGACACAATCCGGGTCTAAAATTGCAAAATTGAACATCACAGATGCTACCTAATAGACCTGCAGCATCTTATTTATTCAAAAATCCTTGACAAAAACGATCTTGCGAGGTTGGAATAGTCACTCATTTTCCAGAATTTGTGCTATTTGTGATAGGATTGATAGCAATATAAGTCTGAATAAAGCTCAAGACAATGGCTAAAATAGCACCAAGGAAAGCAAGAATAGTCCAAGGGGTGTCAAAATGGATATGCAACCATTCAGTCATCCACAGTCTCACTTTGTTCTTATATTGCTTTTCAATTAGGTCCTTAACATCTTCATAGGCATCAGGGTTGGGCACTAAGTTCTTGCTATCTCATTGAAAAGCCCAGCCACCTCTTCTTTGCTACCAAGGTAGTTTAGAAGTATTCTATTCTTTCTCAGCTCCTTCACATCATCAGCACGATCAATCAGTGCATCCATAAACCATATTTATGAGGTGACTCCAAAGTCATTGGGATTATCAGGACACATCTCATAGGCTATTAAGTTTAGTAGTAAAGACTGGGTCGAATCATCAATTGTCATTGGAGGAAGCCTTAAGATTGCTCTAATGAAGAGAGGTTCATACCTTACATTAGTAAAACATCTGCCTTTTTTGTTAGGCCTGAAGTTGATCCCCGCAGTCTTGAGCTCTTGTACTGAATGATGCAACATCTATTACATGGTTAAACAAGTACGATAGGTTGTGGAAACCAAATCTAAGGGTCCTATGTTCGTCAAGAAGCCTTTTTGGTCCAAAAAGAAGTGTCCATGGTAGTGTTTAGTAGTTAAGGGTATTATGGCAACTTCAGTTTTGCTGGACATGGGTTGTAGGGTTGCCCATGGGTTCTATTTTAGGTCAAGTTATTAAATGGGTTATTATATATGGGTTTTATTATGTCTAAAATAATCTTAGTGGTCAAAGTCCAAGTTTCCTATTTTGATATGAAGTAGAATTAGAAGTCATTAAAGTTTCCTATTATGATTGAAGTAGAATTGGAAGTCATAGTAGGTCTAGAATATTAGTAATTGCTAAATATTTTTAGTTTCTAAATTTGAGAAATAGTCTTTATAGAATTAGGAGAGTCTTTAGCCTATAAATATATGTGTAATTTCAATGATTCAAGAGCAGTGTTAATATTATTAAAATTTGAGATTGTGTTTGTGTGATTGGCCTATCCCTTGTGAGGGTAAAGCACTTCTCTTTCTTTCTCTCTTCTTCTTCTTCTATCCAGTAAGGATACTGTTTACGTCACTGTTCGCAGTGCTTAGAACAACCACCCAACTGCCCCTAAACACTTATGTTTTCATTTCCAAAACCCTACCCTTTTACAAACCCTTAAACTCTTATTCTTTTAAATATTTCTGCAGTCACAAAATCCCACCAAATCCAGCCCTATAAGTCTATTGTTGTTACTGCCAATATACTTAAACCGGGCTCACTACTTGTAGGAAAGTAATCCCTACTCGTCCTACATCAGTTTGGTATCAGAGCTTCATGATCCTACTTTTAGTCTCCACCGATTTTGGTTTTTTTTTTTTTCTTTTGGCAAAGTTGTTTTATCGAGTACGATGGTGACAAACGTTGAATTGAATTCCAAGTTCGAAGCCTTCTCAAAAGATTATGAGGCTACCAAGGAAGATGTTGCAATGTTGAAGAGTGATGTTGCAATGTTAAAGAGTGACGTGCGTACCTGTAGACACCCCATTTTTGACCGTCCTCAAGATTTGGATGTTCTTGCAGGTACATCCAATAACAAGTGTGATTGCTCGTCGAGTGCTTGAATGCCGCGGCGGAACGCCACAGGTTTGAGCTTTCCAAACCCTATATCAGTTCTGCCTCATTTTTGGACCATGTGTTGGTCCTTTCAGCATGCTTTTCTTAGTGCACTGCTGGCCACTTTTGGGCCCTGCCGGCCATGCATTTAGGCCTGTCGGCCATTGATGAGGCCTACAGGCCATCAATGAGCCACTGCCGGCCATCACTGATGGCGAGCCGGCCACCAATGCATTAGTAGATATTTTGTAGATATTTTGACAGCTGTTTGCATAGATTGGCCCATCTGCATGCACGTGGATGGCTGGATTTGTTTGAAGGCTTCTTGTATCCTCTAAATATACAAGCCATCCTCATGCATGGTTAGGGTTACAAAATTTTGTGAGCAAAATTTCCTCTCTCTAGAATCCTCTCTCTCTTGATTTTGTGCTTGAAAGTGAGTTTTCTCTACATATTTGCATACAACCCGTTGATCAAACTTGATCATCTTTGTGTTGAGACTCTTGGAGGCTTTGTTTGGGGTCTTGAGCTTGGTTTTGGCTCAGAATTTCAGCTGTTTTGTTGCTGTGTTTCAAAGGTATAAGCTTGTCCCTTTTAAGCTTTGTTTTAGTTACGTGCTTAGCCATCCTTTTATGCTACTTTGAGGCTAGTTTTAAACTCTAAAAAACTCTGATTTTAAGGTTTTAAAATGGTGGTTTAAGCCTTGTTTGGTTAGGGGGTGGTTCCCCCCCATTTTGCTCTTTGGCTTGCAAAGCCTTGAGAGCCACCTTTCAAAGCTTTTGAAATAACCTTTTCTTAGCCTTTCAACCATTGAATTCCAGGGGAATATCAGGGGTAGAAAGTTGGTTTTGAGGACCAAAATGGGAGGGCGTGGTCCCCCCTCCTCATGTCTTGTTTGCATGTGTAGTTGGCCTAAGAGGTGAGCATGTTTTTCTACCCTTTTGGGACTCCATCTCAGCATGTTTTTGCTAATTTTTTAGCATGTTTTAACTTTGTTTTGGTTGGTCTTGGTCATATGACTCATGCTTTGTATGGTTGTAGTGTAAATGGCCTTTACTAGCTTTATGTTTTGAGGCTTCTAGCATGCTTTGCTTGGGTTGTTTGCATGCCACAACATCATTTAGCATGTGATTTTAGAGCATATATCATTATCACACTCTCACATGTTCCACTCTTTCATTGCTATTGAGAGTTGTGCCTTATGCCTTGTTTGAGAGCCAACCCATGAGCATGATTTTCTTGCTTTTCATGCTCCCATCTCAGCATGTTTTTGCCACTGTTTTGGCATGTTGTGGCTCTGTTTTGAGTTGGTTTGATCATTTAAGCTTGGTATTGCACGGCTCTAGTGTAGCGCTCTTCACTAGTTTCTATGCTTTTAGCTTTGAACATTTTGTGCATGTGTTGCTTGCATGTTTTAGCCTTCTTTTTCATGCCATTTCAGCATTGAAATTCTGCAACCTCTCTCATTTCTTCACTTTTCCTTTTGTTTTGAGGGTTTGTTGGCCTTAAGGTTGTGTTTAAGGATGAGTTAGAGTTTGTACTCAAATGGCTTTAACTCTCTTTTGAGGGTTTCTCCTAGTCAAAGGCATGATCTCTTTCATGTTTTTAAACCCTACTTTGGTTGACCCCTCTTATTAGAGGACACTCATCTTGGACTTAACCAACTAAAGAATGGCTTGGTAATGCTAAAATGAGTAATTAAAATGAACCAAGTAAAACATGACCAAGATAAGCATGTTATATGTGCATTGCATTGTGTTCAATCGGACGTTATATTGAACACAAGGTAGATTGGTCCATTTCATACTCAAAGTGATGAAATGAGCCAATCTCCTTTGTCTCCATTGCCTTTGATCATCCATGACAAAGTAGTGGACTTGAGTCTTTGCTTTGTGCATTTATTGAATGTGTGCAAGTTGGATCCTTGGCCATTATGCATCAAAAATGCTTGATTGGTGGTTTTAGAACCAATAGCCCCCCTCATTTGATGTTTTGAGATGATAAAGAGAGGGTGCAGTACAAACATGTGATATCCTTGTTCCGTAGTATGTCAATTGGTCCTTATTATGAATATGATTATGTGTTTGATATGATTCTGTGTGCCATTATGTGAAGATATGTGGTTTTGAATTTCTATCTGTTTACCGTAGGAATATCTGTTTGATTATCTGCTTTGGAGATTAAATTAAAGGTCCTATCGGCCACAGAAACTGAAATTAATTGCGCCATTGTGATTGGCATAATTTTTAGAGCCTATGGTGAAATTAAATTGAAAATTGATTTGGATCAAATTAATTAGATTAATTTAATGGTGTAGTGCTCAAATTATTTAGTATTAATAAGTATAATTGAAGGAAATTATATAAGTGGGGCACTATGTACTCAAATCTCCTCTTTAGCATTCTATTTGGCTGATTCTAACTTAAGAAAAGAGGGAGGGCCGGCTAGAGAGAGAGAGAGAGAGAGAGAGAGAGAGAGAATAATTGGAGTTTGATCATTGAAGCTTAAAAATCTTGAAGATTAAGCTCAAGAATTGGCTAGAGTTTGGGTGTTTGAGGCTCCTAGGTGAGTAATCAACCTTTGACTCATGGATTTTAGTTTGTAATTTGTAGATTCCAAGTTGAATGATGATAAAGAACATGAGTTAAGTTGGTTATGTTGAATTGGAAGCCAATATGTACATGCATGTAAGAAATTGCTTTGAGTTTGCATATTTGAGCTTGAATTACATGACTAATGTTGAATTTTGATTAAAGTCCATGTATTTAATCATCTCTTCACCAACTAAGTTGAGAATAATGGGTATCTCCCACATGCATGTGCAAATCATGGAGGTGTGAGTGTTGAATGTTTGAATTTAATGTGTTGGTGATGAGTTTGGGTTAATTTGAGTCATGCATGTAAGTAATTCTTGGAATTGAGTTTCATAATGTTGTAATTTGGTGTTTATACCATGTTAGTATATGTATATATGAAGTTTGAGCCAAAATCATGCATATAGAGCCTTTGAATATCAAGTTGAAGCTCAAGAATATGTTCTGAAAAATCCAGAAAAT